TTTTGAGATTTTTTATCGTTTACTTAAGACTTGGGAAAAAGAATAAAATTTCAATGAAAATTGAACTGAAGAAAGGTGAATAAATGAATCAATTCCAGACATAACGGTAACATATTACTGGATTCAGAAGGTCACTTGATTCATATTGATTTTGGATTTATTTTATCGATTTCACCGCGTAATCTCGGCTTTGAAACGTCGCCGTTTAAATTGACGCAAGAAATAGTGGATGTTATGGGTGGAGCTGATAGTGATATGTTCAAATATTATAAGATACTTCTGCTGAAAGGATTGATCGCTGCACGCAAGCATCACGATCGTGTTGTTAATATCGTTGAGATCATGAGTGTCGGTTCGTTGTTTTGTGTCGTTTCATCGATAAGAGATCAGTTTGAAAGTGGATTGCGATTCGATATAAACATTCTCCGATAGACTCTGATGGTCTTTATCGAGTATAAAATTGTGTTTCAGGTTCACAGTTGCCATGTTTTCGTGGTGGAACGAACACGATTCGTTTATTGAAGGATCGTTTTCATATGAGTTGTACTGAGCCACAGTTGCAAGCTCTTATTGACAAAATGGTTGCGGACAGTTTAGATGCGATCACAACGCGGATTTATGATAATTTTCAGTATTATACGAATGGTATTTTATGAATTTTTTCATATGCTCTTCATTTGCCATCGTTATTATTGTATTTTCGTTATTATCGTCGTCATCGTTGTTATTTTTGATACTTTTTTTATTCTTTGAAGAAATTTATTTTATTGTTCTCTTCCGTTCATTCACAAAGCCCGCGAATTTGCATATTTTTCGAAGCAGAATCATTTTTCCCTATTCCAATTTCTCAAATTATTCCAAAACTTTTGAATTGAAATCGATTTTTGCTTGTAATCAATGACTGATCATCGTTTGAATTTGATTCTGTCACGATCAGGATGGAGTAATCTCATCGTCATTTCAAGGGTAACTAACATGTAATTATGTCGTTGCGTTGAATGTTATGTTTGTATTCATTTGTAATAAATTGCCATACTTTTGATTTCTTGTTTTTGTTACTGATCACTGTATATGTAGTGTTTTATCGAGTAGAACGGTTGTGCGTTGAGAATGTATTCGTTGCATGTGCTAGGTTGCCTCGTTTAGCCAGTTTGCTTCATTGAAACTCCGGTAAATGTTATCATTCGAATGTTTAACGTATCTCAAAAATTCGTCTTGTATCCTTACTGAGTTCGTCGTTAATTTAGCGAGATGTGCTTGTTCAAATGCATGACTTGTGCAGTTGAAACTTAATGGATGTTGGGAAGTATTAGTTGAATATAAAACTTTCAATTCACAATGGTTTAGATTAAAGCGAGACATTCTTTGCGTAAGACAGTCGAAAATTTTTGAATGACAGTCGTTTTTAGAAACAGAATTGATTTTTCGAAGAATTTTGTATTGCCATATTCATATGATTGAACTGATGAAATNAAAAGCATAGATTTGTTTATTTGAAGTTGAATGTTGTCGAATTGAAGACGGCTTTAATGGGAATGCATCATTCCCGAACAACCCCTCTCCGAGTGATTATTGTATTCGAGTTGAAAGTTATTTTGTTTGGTGTTATGTGATTTGACCATGTGTCGCTCGTTTCGCAGTTATTTTCTTCTTAATATCCATCGCTTTCATGTTTTTTAAGACTCATTTTTCATTGTTATGCATACATTTAGCTACTTATCTCTCTATCAGTTCACGTACTAACTGTTTGTTGGTGTCATTACAATAATGAACTTTTCGAAGATTTTCTAATAAAATTTGAAAGGGTGAAAAATTTCTTGAAAATTTAATCAAAAGCAAAATTCTATTTGTATTTGTGAGAAAATTGCGAATAATATTTTACGTAGCGCAATGCTAATAAGAGGATACATTTCCGTTCTGAAAAATGTGTCATTCAATCTGGTTATGTTCTACCTGTTAATTGTGAAGTTTTGTAGTCTTGAAATGATTTCAACGAATTTGTTTTCCCGTGAATTTATTCAGTTTTGAATGAACTATCGATTCATTCCAATTGATTTCGTTTTGATTCTATTTGTATTTTTGCATTGTCATCTAAAAATATTTGCGTATTTTTTGTTTCCATCAATATTCTTATTGTATAATCCTTGCCATTGAATGCACAAAATTTCAATCATCTTCTCAGCTCACAATCAGAGTATCACAATGTTTTCGTTCTTTTTAGATGCACATCAATATGCTTTTATTGACTTCCTCTGCCGTTCCTCGGTCTTGCTGTGCGATTTACTTGCTTATTTGTAATATTATCATGTAATTGCATCTCGAATTATTCGGTGCACTCGGAGATGAAACACTGAGCTTG